TATATATATAAACATGCATAGTTTACAGTCGATCTTATATCAGTCCAAGAGTTAGTCCTTCAATCTAAAATGAGTGGGTAAGTCCTTCAATCGATCCACCCCCACTTCAACCCTATATGCCAAACATCGCTGTTACCTTTTCTAATTGACTTGGTCACATTTGATTAATTGTCACATCTCATTTTTGGGACATGACTGATGCAAGGGTCCATATGGATATAGTACGCTAAATCTAAGCAAATCTGAAAAAGAATCATTTATCATATCTCTTAATCAAAACATGAGAGACATGTATCTTCATGTACATGTATATATATTATAATTAACCAAAGTATCACATGGATAACATTTAAGATTCAAAACAATCCGACTTGATTGTACTTAACGAATAATATAAATTTATAAATATAACATAACCAAAATCTCAAGCCATGCATTGGTCAATACCAAATACTATATCAAAAATAAAAATTTGACAATAGAAGACTCGACCAATGGATTTACATAGGGTGAGAAATCTTAACCAAATGGGCGCTTCGACAACCACCTAATGAGAGGGATGGAAGGATGACTATCCAACGATGCTAATCAAATAGTCTACTAATTTGAAATAAAATAGAATTTGTGTAATAAAATATAAATCTCAGTAAGCAAAAATAAAGAATGAGAACAAACAAAACGGAGAAGTATTTGCAAATATCATTTAAAACAAATATGCACATTCCTCAACCCAATGCTTAATCATCCACATATTCTATACCTTAAGACACTACAAAGTCCAACAAAACCTCTCAAGTGTTAGGAAAGGTAATTTAATCATAATGGAGCTCAAAACTCTTTAAATAGGATGAAAATATCAAGTTTGTAGCTAAGTATCGATGCTTGTGTTAAAGATATCAATACATTCTAAGCAAAATACTTTCTACCTTGAGGGTCTCAATACCTTAAGTAAAGGTATCGATCGCTTTTGTCTAGAATGCTTTCCCAACGCATTCTGTTGAACAAGTATCAATATTTTCTTGTTAAGTATTAATACTTTTCTCCCTATAATCAATTTCCAGCTTCTCTTATGCAAAATTCAAAAAAAGGATTCAACCTTTGGCTTTCCAAGTCAAATTTATAACATTGTTTATCAAAAACACATGCTTAATCACTAAATCCTCAAATTATTATCACATCGCATGTATCATCAGCCATGTTAAATAATAAGATTGCAATATTTACGTGTCATGCTTTATGAATTATGCAACTGGTGACATGCTCATATAATGATGTTTCTAAAACATGCTCTCACACATAATGCAAACAAGCAAATGCATGTACAAAACGTGATGAGGCACTTGATTTCAAAACATATTAGGGACATGTAACTCATCAAAACGTGATATGGCACTTAACAAAACATGTTATGAACATGTAACCCACAATGATACTGATATTTAAAACATGTTATGAACATGTGAGTTATAATGATGATGCACTCATGATATGCTAAACATTCAAGTCACACAATGCCCGTTCAAAATATACTAAAAGTATGTAATTCCAATTACAATTTATGTAAATCATATTCTAGCTTACAGGCTAAATATATATCAAATATTCAAAACATGCTAAAGGCACATAAGCTTGTTTATCATATTCTCAAGACATGCCACAACTCGTAACTCATGCATCATCCACAATCCAAAACTCAATTCACATTTGAAAAGTAAAAGTATTGAAAAGTTTGCTCCCCACAAAACCATTTTATACATAATTAGAATTCTCAGTTTTTGGTCCACAGTGCAATTTCAAGACCAAAATTGAAACAGTTGACCCTCTCTAAATCTCAGCCTTTAGATAACTCATTTGACAATCAAAACATCCATTTTCTGGTTGTAAATATTTAAAGATATCATTAGAAATCTCAGTTTTTCATGCTCACTAAGCAAAGTTATAATGTTAATCTTTTATTAAAAATTAGGGTTTCATATTAATTTATGACATCTATCAATGTTCTTCGATTTTACAATGATTTGTGAATACTTAAAAACAATACATTGGTTTTTTTGAATATATAATTTTAATTTAAAAGTTAAATATAATTTGTTAGACAAATACCTTAATATAAATCATATTATGCTTTAGGATATTGACTCGATATTTTAAATCGTAATAGCAAAAAGTTTTAATATATTACATGTAAAAATGTCAAGAAAATAGACAAATTCTACCCAAAAAATGAAAAAAAAAAAAGAAAAAGAAAACTTTGACAAATGATAGGCTCCACCTTACTCCGAAGTCGCCTTTGTACTTTCAATGGACTTGACAAAGGACGGCCAGATTCAAATTGTGTAACTGTCATAAATAATAATCAAATAATAGTAATAAATTAACAGTCAAATGAAAAGCAAGCCACCGCGGTTGAAAACAGGCACGTGAAAATTTCCTCTGCATGAATCATGGTCTAATGGCGTCCACGTTCGAGGGATGGATAATCATCTGAGCCGTCCACCTAGCTTAATCTAGCACGCACGCACCTCTTCACCTCGGTCCTTTATTTTTAGACTTTTATATTTTGATCCTCCTCAGTGCTGACGTTGCACGATTGCAGTCACGACACGGCAATTCCGGATCAACTCTTTCCCAATTATCTAGCACCACGTTGCTGTATTTGTTTGAGTTGGAAAATGGCTTTTAGTTGTTTAGGCAGGTTGCATTGTTGAAAAAAAAGAGTTTGACCAGTGACAGGCGCGGCGTCTCGCCGCGTCTATCCTGATATGACGTGGATTTTGATATCCTTTCCCCAAAAGGTGGAAAAATTTTCTGTACAGTTTTAACGCTTTCGTTCAGGATTTTGGCAAGAAAACGTTTATATTATTTAATATACAGCAACCGCCTTTTATTTAATTATGGCATGAGTTGGCGGGGCTGTTAACTGCCACGTCAGGCCTTGGTTTCTTATCCTTGAAAAATTATAAAAGTAACCCTCTGACAAATGGGGCCCATTGGATATTGGTACATCTCCTGATTCTATTGAAGCTGTGTTAATCCTTCTCTCAAATGTACTATTCTTTCTGTTTTTAACAATTTAGTGCTTGGTCAATTTTCTAAAAATTTAGTTCTGTTTTATTTATAAATTATTATTGATTAATTTTTTTAAAAAGATAAATTTCAAATTATGAGTAAATTAGTTTTAAAATATATGTTTATTAAAATTTAATCAAATTTTTAACTAAAAAAAATTCAAACCAAAACAATATAATTATGAGATGAAAAGAGTCTAAATTTATGTGGCAAACATATTTTCGTTCAATTTTAGCAATTGCAAATGAACGGACATAAATGAACTCAAATCATAATATTTAATTATATGAAATTTGAAGCATAACAAATACTGATTTAGAGACATATTGAAAATGATTTAGTGATATACTTGCTTCTACGTAAGGGGAAAAAAAAAATCAAACCGGTCCTTTTAGACAA